AATACGTTGTGTCTTTGTTTTCATTATATTCAAGGAAGACTTTAATTTCTTTCTTAATTTCTTCCTTGACCCAGGGGTGATTTAGTAGTTGACTGTTCAACTTCCATGAGTTTGTTGGCTTCCTGGGGGTACCATTGTTGTTGAATTCTAATTTTAATCCATGGTGATCTGACAAGACACAGGTGGTTACTAATATTTTTTTGTATCTGTGGAAGTTTGCTTTGTTACCGAGTATGTGGTCAATCTTCGAGAAGATTCCATGAACTGCAGAGAAGAAGGTATATTCTTTCCTATTTGGGTGGAGTGTTCTATAGATGTCTGTTAAGTCCATTTGATTCAATACCTCCAATAAATCTCTTAATTCTCTGTTTGGTTTCTGTCTGATTGACCTGTCCATTGGTGAGAGAGGAGTATTGAAGTCTCCTACTATTAGCGTGTGTGGTTTGATGACTGCCTTGAGTTCTAGAAGAGTTTCTTTTACATATGTGGGTGCCTTTATATTAGGGGCATAGATATTCAGGATTGAGACTTCTTCCTGATGAGTTGTTCCTGTTATGAGTATGAAATGTCCATCTCCATCTCTTCTGATTGATTTTAGTTTGAAGTCGATTTTGTTAGATATTAGAATGGCCACACCCGCTTGTTTCTTAGGTCCATTTGCTTGGAAAACCTTTTCCCAACCCTTTACTCTGAGTAGGTGTCTGTCTTTGTGGTTGAGGTGTGTTTCTTGTAAACAGCAGAATGTTGGATCCTGTTTTCGTATCCAATCTCTAAGTCTGTGCCTCTTTATAGGTGAATTGAGTCCATTGATATTAAGAGATATTAATGACCAGTGGTTGTTGACTCCGGTCATTTTTTGGGGGGGGTAGTAGAGTGTATGTGTTTTCCTTCTTTGGGTTGTGCTAGTGAAGGGTCTCTAGATGTCTGAGTTATTGTAGGCAGTATTGGCAATGTTGGATTCCTGGGGATGTAATTTTCCTTCTAATATTCTCTGTAAGGCTGGATTAGTAGTTACGTATTGTTTAAATTTGTTTTTATCCTGGAATATTTTGTTTTCTCCATTGATAGTGAATGAAAGCTTGGCTGGGTATAGTAGTCTGGGCTTGCATCCATGGTCCCTTAGTTTCTGCAGTACCTCTATCCAGGACCTTCTGGCTTTCATGGTTTCCATAGAGAAGTCTGGTGTAAGTCTGATAGGTTTACCTTTATAGGTTACTTGACCTTTTTCCTTTGCAGCTCTTAATATCCTTTCTTTAATCTGAATGCTTTGTGTTTTGATTATTATATGGCGAGGGGATGTTTTTTTCTGATCCAGTCTATTCGGTGTTCTGTATGCTTCTTGCACCTTCATAGGAATATCCCTCTTTAGGATGGGAAAGTTTTCTTCTATAATTTTGTTGAATATATTTTCTGGACCTTTGATCTGCAATTCTTCTCCTTCTTCTACTCCTATTATTCTTAGATTTGGTTTTTTTATTATGTCCCATATTTCCTGAATGTTTTGTGATGAGAATTTGTTGGATTTGCTGTTTTCTTTGGTCAGGGCGTTTATTTTCTCTATGGTGTCTTCATAATCTGAGATTCGTTCTTCTATCTCTTGTATTCTATTGTTTATGCTTGTTCCTGAAGTCTCTGTTTGTTTACCTAGATTTTCCATATCCAGTCGGCCCTCGGTTTGTGTTTTCTTCACTGCCTCCATTTCAGTTTTCAATTCTTGAACTGATTCCATTACCTGTTTGATTGTTTTTTCTTGGTTTCCCAGGGTATCATTTACGAATTTACTCATTTCTTCAAACTTTTTGTTATATTTGTCTTCCATTTCTTTATTCATTTCTTCCATCTTTTTGTTATATTTCTCTTCTATTTCGTTAAGTGAGTTATTCATACCCTGTTTAAGAGACTCTATTGTTTTCTTAATAACACTGTTTCCCACTTCTTCCGGGCTAGGGTGTTCAAGTCCTTCTGTCGTAAGATCGCTGGGATCTGTTGTTTTCATGTTGTTTTTCAGATTATTGGAGGAATTCTTGCCTTGGTGCCTGCCCATCTCTTCCTTCAGATGTTCTCCAATGGCTCTTCCCTCCGCTGGGTCTTCTTCTACTGGGTTAGTGCCCCTTGCTATCCAGGAATCACTTTGCCTGCAGCCTTAGCTTGCTGCAGGCAGGCTATTAGAACAAAGGGACTTCCGTCCCTTTGCACTCACCGCCTGTCCTGGCCCGCGGCACCCACCCCGGCTGAGATGGAGGAATTTAAGCCCTGAAAAAGGGAGAGGGGAAGGTAGGGGTTCCAGGCAGAAAGCTGGGATGACGTAGCAGGAGAGAGGGTTTAGCTGGGGGAAGCCGCCCCTTTGGAGTAGCCAGGGAGATAAGGATGGCAGGAATATTGTGTGTTCCCTAACCGAACTTGTGTGGCGGTCAGGAACAGCACACTTATCCCTCCATTGTATCTTCTGGTACAGGATCAGAGCCACTCGCTGGTCAGAAGTCTCCCTGCCTGCAGTCTTAGCTTGCTGCAGGTCGGCTATTAGAACAAAGGGACTTCCGTCCCTTTGCACTCACCGCCTGTCCCGGCCCTCGGTGTCTACCCCGGCTGAGATGGAGGAATTTAAGCCCCGAAAAAGGGAGAGGGGAGGGTAGGGGTTCCAGGCAGAAAGCTGGGATGGCATAGCAGGAGAGAGGGTTTAGCAGGGGGAAGCTGCCCCTTTGAAGTAGCCAGGGAGATAAGGATGGCGGGAATATTGTGTGTTCCCTAACCAGACTTGTGTGGCGGTCAGGAACAACACACTTATCCCTCCATTGTATCTTCTGGTACAGGATCGAAGCCCCTCACTGGTCAGAAGTCTCCCTGCCTGCAGTCTTAGCTTGCTGCAGGCCGGCTATTGGATTGTTTCTTTAACAAGTATAAAGAGTCCTTCCTTATCTCTTCTGAGTAGCTTTGGTTTAAAGTCTATTTTGTCAGATATTAGATTAGTCATATCTGCTTGATTCTTAGTTTCTTTTGCTTATAAAATAATTTTCCACCATTTTACTCTAAGGTGGTGTCTATCTTTGGTAGCAAGACATGTTTTGGGGATGAAAGAGATGAATATTGTTTTCTAATCCAATCTGTTAGTCTGTGTCTTTTTCTTGGGCAATTAAGACCATTAAGATTCAGAGATATTCATGAAGGATGTGTATAAATTGCTGTCATTTGTTGATTTTGTATTTTTTAGACTTTTTATTAACTTTCCTAATATTATTTATTCTAGTTGTGTGTGTTTTTCATTCTCTTCAGACTGAAGAATTAGATCTAGAATCCTCTACAGAGATGCTTAGGGATCATAAATTCTTATCTATTTTTATCATAGAAATTTTTTATTTCTCCAACTGTAAGGCACAGTTTCACTATGCACATGTTAAGGGTTGGCAGTTGTGGTCTTTCAGAACTTGGAATGCATTTTTCCAAACTCTTTACTTTACATGTTTCTATTCAATAATCAATCATTTATTATTCTGATGGGCCTATCTTTGTAAGTGATCATCTATCTTTATAAGCTTATCATAATTGTTTCAGAATAAATACATGCACCGAAAATTTGGCTATCAAGGTACTAAAACCAATAAGAAATAGTTGTGAATTCTTGAGCACATTCTAGGCTTTTGGATACAGTTGTTTTTGTTACTCTTTACCCACAGAGGAGATTCAAGCAAGGTTATCAATTGTTGTGAAAATGCCAGTTTCAGAACACTCCCTGACGGCAATAGGTTACTTCACAATTTATTTTCATCTTGTCTACTAAGTTTGTATGTATGCATGTGTTTCATTCTTTTTTGAGCAAAAGATGTCAAACCTGTAAGAAATTTCTGGAACACTGACAAACAACACGGTATGTAGTTGTTTCCCACACCCTGATAAAATTCTGTATGTGTCAGAACCTCTCATTACTTTAACAATACATTTCTGGTCAAACTGTGATATGAACTTACAAGAGTTGAATTTCTGGCACCAGGACTATGGGTACCAAGAGATACTTCGGATCAGCATCTAATCCAGTCAGCAGAGCCCTCCTTCAGAGACCTGCGGTCCCTAGACCTGAAGATGACTGGCAGAAGCTGAGCATGAAGTGTAATTTCAAGTTCTAAGCGTTAGAACCTGTGTATACACTGCTGCAGTCTCTTCCTTATTATGGGCCTTGATGGAATGGATTTTCAATAAAAATGAATTTAATAAGATTTGAAGAAAACAAATTATGTATCCCGTACACATCTGATTTTGTTATTATAGATATGTGGTTGGTTGTTTTCTTGACATCAGAATATGGTACGAGCTAGGCTGAGTGGTACACACCTGGAACATTGACTAATTGGAAGGTTGAGACTGGAGGGTCACAAATTCAAGGACAACCTGGGCAAGTTAGTAATTGACCCGTTCCTGTGAAGTACTCAGAAATAGTTTTGTCTAATGGAAAGGCTTTGGCTTGGTTTTGTAGAGATACACTAAAATAACACTGTTAAATGACAGAGTCCAGCACTGCTGCCTGACGGAGTCCTCGATGTCCTCCTTCGGACAATACTTCATGACTTGCAGAGTAATAGTTTCACTAGTTGGCACAATGCCCTCACTTTGGGATCTTTAAAACCCTCAGCTCACTGAGGAGACACATTCCACGGGTGTTTCAGCAGAATTCACACTTGTTCTTAATTGTATGTTTTTCTTCTGAGAATCAGGATTCCCAGGTGCCAAGAGAGATGTTCGTGACCCCTCGGAGACTTATAATGACTCTGCAAAGGGGACATGGTTGAGGGCTAAGCAGGTGCAACGCAGATTATACTCCCAAAAAACAAGGCAGTGTTTGGATGTTGGTACATCTGACTCAGGACAAAACAGTGCCTTATAAACTTGACCTGTGCTGAAGAGAAGGCCACGTGTTTTAGCAGTATGTTCACCTACTATCAGGGCTGATTAGTGCCAGATTCTCAACTCAGCAAATTTCTGGATTTTATAAATTATTCATCAATGTTATTATGAAATTATTCATTGCTTTCTCTCTCCTGATTAGTCTCATTATATTCCAGGAACAAATTTTTTGCTTCTCTTTAAGTATACCCGCTTCTCCTGGCTCCTATCAAGATGGGAATTTTGTTATTGGAGGACTCTTTTCCCTTAAAGTGACTCGTGGAGACACCAGAAGTCGATTTGGCTTTGAAAGCACAACCTATGTACCGGATTATGTTTATGCGTAAGTGTTTGGTTTCTCTCTTTAAAAGAATCATTGTTTCAGGATTTCATACATGTATACAACATACTTTGATTAAATCCATCCCTACTGCCTCCCCTCAAATGTCTCCTCTCTCCCAATTTCATATACTCTCTTTTAAAAAAAAATTCACTCATTCATTTAGTCATTTAGCCAGTCATTTAGTCATTTAGCCAGTACTGCATGCGTATAGGAGAGCAGCTGGAGCATGGGCAAGCTTCTAGGGTCGCCATCCTAGAAGGAAACTGGCACTCCCTTCTCCAGTAGCCACCAACTGCCAGTAGCTACTCAGCTGTGGGTGGATCTTTGTGGGTCCCTCCCTATTCTTGTGACTTCTCTTTAATACCTAAGAAGTCTTTAAAAGCACTTTGTAGTTTAGAACTGGTCTTTTTGTATTTATTTAGGATATTGCACTGAGAACATTTTATTTTTCTTGCCTAAATTTACTGGACACTATTTTCTTAAATTGCTATCGTTGATCAAGCACTGTGTATCTCCTGAGGTTTATCCTATTATTGAAGACCACATGAAATGCGAAATGTCAATGTTTGCCATTCCCCACATGCTTCCCTCCTTGGTTTTACTTTCTCAAACACAAGTTGCACAGTAAAAAGTTTGAATGTGTGTGGTGATACAGCGTTTGAGAGGCAGAGGTAGGCAGATCTCTATGGAGTTTGAGGTAAGCTTATTCCGTCTGCATTGTGTAGTATGAGGGCCGGCTTGTTGGGGTATCTGTCCTGCCTGATACCCCACAGTCAGCATGCCCCAAAGAGAAAAATCACACACAGGATTCCATAAGGTTATAAACTGATTGACCCATTAGGTCAGGCTTCTTGTTAACTCTTATAATTTATATTAACCCATTATTCTCATCTATGTTAGCCATAATGGCTCTGTACCTTTCTCAGCTGGGCAAGTTACATGCTGCCTCTTCAGTGGTCTGCGCAGGAGTGGCTGAGGGAGCTTTCTCCTCCCTAGCCTTATCCTATTCTCATTACCCCGCCTCTACTTCCTGTCTGGTTGACCCGCCTATACTTCCTGCCTGGCCAATCAGCGTTTTATTAAAATACATGATTGACAGAATACAGATAATTCTCCCGCACCAGCATTGTGAGTTTCAGGTCAGTCAGGGCTGCCTAGTGAGACTGCCTTAAAAAAAATACAAAACCAAAACTTGGGGATTTGATAATGAATCGGGTTGTTTAGACGAATTCCTCCACATTTTCAATATAGACTATCTATCTTGCTTATTTCTTAGATTTTCATGTATCTTTCTTATATGACTTAGATTTTTAGAAATAAAAATCAAGAATTTGGGAGGGGAGAAGGGGCGAACAGAGGGGAAGCAGAAGGGAGGAACGTGAAAGGGATAAATGATGCAATTTTATTTAAATTTAATTTTAATTTTTAAATTAAAATAAAAAAGAACACAGAAAACTGTCTTTCCAATTTTTCCTCCTAGGGATCTCACTAAACATTACCAGCACATGTTGGCAATGGTGTTTGCTATAGAAAAAAATCAACAAGGATCTGAATATTTTATTCAACATGTCCCTAGGATTCTGCCTCTTCAATGTCGACTTCCTTGAGATGAAGGCTGTGGAGGGTTCTCTGGCTTTGCTCTCAGAAGAGAGCCCCCCAGTTCCTAACTACAGCTGCAGACCCGAGAAGAGTGCAAGCTGGTGGCTGTGATAGGTGGCATTTCCACAGGAATATCAGCCCAGATCTCCCGAGTCCTGAGTCTCTGCAACGTCCCACAGGTAGGCAAAGAATCCTGGCTCCTCACGTTAAATGTAGTGACGCAGTAACAAATGTTGGATAATTAATTCAGTTAGTGTTTCTCCATGAGGTGTGGCACTGCTTAATAACTTACTATCTAGTTATCATTTTAAGTGAAGTATAATTTATTCATAAGAGAAAATTATGTTCATGTAACAAACTTTAATTTAAAAACCTTCCAAATGGAAAAAGTTATAAAAACAATGACAACCTGTACCTGTAATCTTAACACCTCAAGACAAATTTCCTTCACCATCTATCATTGTTAATGCCCAGCCTTCCTCTCCCGGGCAGCTTCGCCCGGCACGAGGACTGACTGTTCCGCTCACCCTACTGTTCCTGTCACTACTGTGACCACACGCCTAGCTGGTTTTCTGCTGTATCAGCTCAGGTTGCCACATGATGCTCATTTTTATAAAGACCGGTGGAGACACTCAGACTGTTTACAATTCCCCTCTGTTGGGAAGAAAGTTTTAATTTGTGTCTCCGTATAAAAAAATCTTTCTCCTGCCCAGTGATGGCTTCTTCTAGACAGAGCTAGAGCCATGGCGTCTCTAAGTCAAACGTTGTGTTTGCAAGGTTTACAGTAAGCACAAAACTGGCTCTTTAGAAATGCGTTAGGTTGAGAACCACGGGCATCCAATAGCTATTGCTTCCCGCTAACGTCGGTGAAGTAACTTGAAATCTTTGTCAACTGCACTAGGCTACCAGGCTTTGATTTTTAATTTTTACTCATTTTTTTTTTGAGACAGGGTCTCAGAATGCTGTCTTGGCTGCCCTATAACTTACTATGTGGCCCAGGATAGCCTCAGAAACACACAGATCCTCTGCCTCCCAAGGGCTGGGACTACAGGCAAATGCCACCATGCCTGATTAGATTTTTGGGTTTTTTGAGTGAATTTTATTTCTTCTTTTAAATATTTTGCTTCAGGCATATGATTATAATAACATCTGTAATAAATGCAACTATTTATTGTGGGACCCTCACTCCACTTTCTCAAAGGGGCAAGAAGAAACTTCCTAGCAGAATGTTTTCCCAGGAAGATAGTGGCCTTCCCCTCTCCCACCCAGGATATTCTGAGCACAAGGTCACTTAGCTCAACCCAGCCAGCCACCTGGTACAGGCTGATAAAGATGGCCTAACTCAAGAACAGTGGCCTCTCTAAAAACAAGGAAAAAACTGACTTAACATAATGGGAGGGAGCAAAAGTCCTTGTACCCAGGCCAAAGCATCTTCAAAGACTCTCTTTGTAGTTATGCCTTTAAAAGCTTACCCCACAGAGGAGATACAACTCCTCTCTACCTTGTTGTAATGGGGATGGAGATGAGTTCCAAATATGTTTGTATTATGCTGATTAAACCTTGCTTATTACAGTCTGGGCCTCTCTGGTGGTCTCTCTCTGGGGGTCGTGATCTGGGCACAACATTTATATTATAAGAAATACGTATATGATTGTTCTTTGCTCATTTCTGTCACGGCTCCTCCTACCTGCCTCTCACTGGTCCCGCCCCCTCATCAGCAAGCTCTTGGGATCTGCCTGCCCCCACCCCACAGTGTTGGGGTACAGGCATATGCAGCCACATCCGACTTGTTACAGGGATGTTGGGGATTATAATACAGGCCCCCATGCTTGCAGAGCAAACATGTTCTGTAGGGCTCACAGGTTCACCCCTCCTCCCGGGTCTCATACTGAGGATAGCTTGCAGTTTCTGGCAAAGCATCCTGTTTGTTCCTGTGCTCCCTCTGCCCCGCCCTTGGTGGTTAACTATAGGGGAGTGGTTTACTCCATTTGGGGCCTGGTAATTTCCCGCCTGCCTGGGGGGGTTTCCATTGTGCAGCAGCTAGGTACATAAGGTTTTCTCTAAGTTTGAATAAATGACATTCGGCATTCTTTCTTCACAGATGACCCACATCTCTGTGTGTTTCAATCTCCAGCCCCTTGCCAGATTTCTGAACTATCCTGTAGCGCAGGCATTACAATGTTCAGCCTGCTGAGCCATTTTCCCAGCCTTGTAATTTATATTTTCTAATTTCTTAAGTTAGCATGCAAAGTCTTGGATTTATCATGCGTTTTCATACATGTACATTGCCCTATGAGACTCCACAATTATCCTCTGCCTATCCACCAAGGCCGTGAACTGAATCCTCTCTCAAGACTGCCTGGGTCAAGCCTCTTCCCACTGAAATATTCGGGTTTTTTTACCATCATGACCTCCCATTTTCCACACCAGTCTCCTGAGGCAGCCTCCTCTGGGCCTGTTTGGGTGTCTGCGGACTCTGTGACATTCTCAGGCTCCCAAAGGAACTCAGTGTTGGGCAATAGGTTCTTTCCTAAAACAGCGTCATAGGGAGCGACAAACCGTAGCTTCTCTCCTTTGTCTGTCCATCTGCTTGGAGGAACAACTGTCTTCCTGAATGAAAGCTGTGTCTTGAGGCCTCAAAGAACCATGGGCTTGTTCTGTGGATGGGACATAGGTCTCTCCATCACAGACTCTTGCCTTGTCTTTTGGATGCGGTTTCTGCTTCTCCCCATGCTGGGAGCAATGCTGGGAAGCTGTGTGTGATCAGCTTTTCTCTTGGGGTTGCCCTGCTGTCTCTCCACACTTCCCTGTTGCCCTATCCCCTTTGTGGATTTCTGGGATTCTTCACCACTTTCGTTGTTTTTGTTTTGCTTTGTTTTTTTTCACAATATCTTTATTATTTTATTTTATTAATGTCTTTATATCCTGACCACAGCTTCCCTTCCCTTCCCTCCTCTTCTCCCATTTCCTTCCTCTCACCTCCCCTCTCATCCTCAGCATCATCCACTTCTCCTCCCCTTCTCTCCAGAAAAGGGCAGGCCCCCTTGAATATAAACCAAACATGGCATATCAGGTTGCAGTAAGAATAGTCACCTCCCCTCGTATCAAGCCTGGACAAGTCAACCCAGTAGGAGGAAAGGGTCCTGAAAACCAGCAAAAGAGTCAGACAGCTCCTGCTCCCAAGAACAAGAACATCAAACTACATAACTGTCGCATATATGCAGAGTGTCTAGGTCAGTCCCAGGCACGCTCCCTGGCTGTTCAGTCTCTGTGAGCTCCTATGAGTCCAGGTTAGTTGATTTTGTAGATTTCTTTGTGATGTCCTTGACCCCTGTAACTCTTACCTCTTCCTTTCCCTTTTCAGCAGGATTCCCTGGGCTCTGCCTAATGTTTGGCTGTGGGTCTCTGCATCTGTTTCCATCAGTTGCCAGATGGCACCTCTCTGATGGCAATTGGGCTAGATGCCAATCTATGAGTATAGCACTGTATCATTAGAAATCATTTTATTGACTTTTTTGTCAGTCTTGACCTTTTTTTTGTCCATCATGTTTGGTTCTATCCTAGGTCTCTGATCTATCCAGCCTCTGGGTCCTGACCCTCCAGGCAGTGTCAAGGGTGAGCTCCCTCTGGTGGCATGGGTCTCAAGATGGACCCGGCATTGGTTGGCCACTTCCACTTAATCCCTCCTCTTCTCATCACACACCCCCACCCCACTCCACCAATTCACCTACAATTTGGTTTTGACTTTTTACAGAAGGGGTCTCTCTACCTGTTCTGGAAACTTGCTCTCTAGACCAGACTGCCCTTAAGCTCACAGAGATCCACCTGCCTCTGGTCCTGAGTGCTGGCATTTAAGGATGCTCTTCCATCTTTTGAGTGGATCTGTTCTTTGTTATGTTGACTCTTCTCAATAATATGGAAGAAGCTGTGAATTGACCAGCTTTTCTTCTGTTTTAAAACTAGAATCCCGATGTGGAGTACCTTTCTGTATGCCACAGGAGAAGCAAGATGCGAGATAGAGCCATGACTATGTGACAATACATAGATTCATAGAAATGGGTTAATTTAAGATTTACGCTAGTTAGTGATAAGCCTGAGCCATCAATCAAACAGTTTGCAATTAATAGTAAGCCTCTGAGTGGATTTTTGGGAGCTGGTAGGTGAGAGAGAAACTGCTAGTTACATAATCCTTTGGGTATGGAAGAGACAGTTTCATTCTTTTCCTAATGACTTTAAAAATCTTTCATGTGCCTGTGTGGGAGTGTATGTGGGAGTGGTCAGGCACATTTCTGCTCATGAGTGTGGAGGCCAGAGATCAATATCAGGTCCCTTCCTCAAGATAATGTTCTTCACTTTGCTTTTCGAGACAGCACCTCTCAGTGAGCCTAGAATTAGCTGATGTGTGACGGGCCAGCAAGTCCCAGGGATCAGCCTGTCTCTGTCTCCCTAGTACTGGGATCCCAGCCATTCCTCATGGTGCCCACTTTGAAATGGATGCTAAGAAATCAAATGCAGGTCTGTCCTCTTGCTCAGCACACTCTTTATCAATAAAGCCATCTCACCAGACCTCTGAAAACATTTTTTTTCCTTTTCCCTACAAATGAATGCATTCCCTCAGGCTACATTAAAGAAAGGCAGCTTTTTTAAAAAAAAAAAAATTTCAAGCTTTTTTTAAATTTATGGCTTAAAAATAGTTCATTCAGGTTTTTAGAAAATTTTAAATAAGCATAAAATAAGCTAGTTTGATGAGCCTTACAAACCAATAATCAAAGTTTACTAACATAGAAATATGGCAATCTTATATCGTCTTTTAAAATTGTTTACTTCTGTGCACTTATTAAATATCAAGTATTTATGCTGCCCGTCTCCTTCCTCAAAATATCCATGTTTATTTCATTTTGTGATTTTGTTATTTCTTCTCCCCCCCCCCAACCAGCCTGCACCTCTCTCCCCTAGCCAGTTAACACGTATTGAGTGTTCATATTTAATTATCATGACTTTGGGGCCAATAAGTGTGATGTTCACTAAACGGTCAAAATCAGATGCACAGTAAGAAGTCAGTATATGAAGTTAGGGTGTGAACTAAGTGAGCATGTAATTTTAGAGTAACATTTAGGGAATTTGTGTCAAAAGGGGGGTCAGATCCCAATCTGAGCCGTGGGCCATTCTGATGTTCTGATGTCACCAATGTGGAGAGACAGAGGGGATTCATTAAGGCAGGCTGACAGTGTTGATCAAATCCTGGCATTATATTCCTTGATCAAAGAAGGAATCCTGGAACTCACTAAGAAGAACATTTTTTAAGAAAAGGATTGCTTCATGCCAATGTTAGGTTAGGTGAAATGAATTTTAATAATTAGCTATTTGATTTATCAGGTTAGGTAATTAATGATCTAGGATTTTGTTTGTTTGTTTGTTTGTTTGTTTTCTGTTTTTTAAGAGAAGATGCCCTGAAGTGCACAGGAATAACAGTATAGACATCTCCATTGAGTTTCCTGGTAAGAACGGTAGCAACATGATGGGGGTGGCCAGAGGGCTCTGGGTGAAGAGAGACTTTACAGTGAGCATTGGGGGGCAATAATCAAACTTTTACCCTGAGTGAGCTTATTTTAGGACAGTTAACTGTGGATTAAGCACTACAGAAAAACAAGGAACATAGGAACTTTTAGGGAAATAGAGAGCTCATTAGTAGATTTTAAAATGCTTCCTGGATTCCTTCTCATCGGTTAATTAGTTTTGGATTTATGACTTCCAGAAAAAGAAAAAGGCCTTTCCTGCTAACGTGCCACCACCTCCACTATCAGGAAAAGGCAAGGTTTGGTACAGGAAGTGACAGATTTGTAAATGCTCTTCTTTGATTAGCATTACCAGAACTGAGGGCAGGAGATAGTCGGAGACCTTGTTTAGTATATTTTTCAAAAGTGTTGAGAGAACTGGAGAGGTGGCTCAGTGGTTAAGAGTACTGGCTGCTCTTCCAGAGGTCCTGAGTTCAATTCCCAGCAACAACATGGTGGTTCACAACCAGCTATAATGAGATCTAATGCTTTCTTTTGGTATGAAGTCATACATGCAGAAAGAGCATATACATCTTTTAAAAATAAATACATCTTTGTAAAATAGTGTAAAGAGAAAGATAGATGTTATGTCAACAACAAATTAGTATTTCCTAATAAAGTTATTTAATTGTTTAATTTCTTCTAAAGTGCATTAAGAGATAAGATAAACTAAACCATTTGGGAATAAATGTTACTGCCTTGTGTAAGTAGTAACCTTGCTTTCCATTTAGATCAGCTATGCTCCTTTTGACCACAGTCTCAGGGGCAGAGTCCAACCCCAGTCTCCTTACCAGTTTCCCGTGAACACCGCAGTTCTCTACCAGGGAATTACTCAACTGCTGCTGTACTTCATTTGGGTCTGGGTTGGCCTTGTAACCCCAGACAATATGAGGGGAAAGCCATTCCTTTGGGACATCACAGAAGAGATGACCAACCATGGACTTTGTGTTGCATTTGTAGAAAAGGTTTCAGAACTTCCTGCTAAGGACACAACGAACAGGCAGCGTTTTGTGGAAAGATTCACATTGACAAATGTCATTGTCACGTTTGGTGACACATACTCTCTTTTGAGGTTTGTCTATAACATCTTTTGCAATACTCCTCTTGGTAATGTCTGGATCGCAACTTCGGATTGGGATATCACCACCTTACCCTTTGAACAAAGTCTAAGTTATACATACTTTGGTGGAGGATTATCGTTTTCTGTTCACGTGGGTGAGATTCTGGGATTCAAGGATTTTCTCAGAAGTGTTCAACCTGGAAAATTCCCTCGTGGTATCTTTATCCAGGATGTGTGGTCGGTATTATTTGAATGTCCGTATTCAGATCAACACTGGGTCAGGGAACAGAGTCTGTGTGAAGAGAATGGAACCCTAGCCGCAGGAGCTCTGCATGTTTGGGGTATGAACACCTCACCCCCGAGCTTCAGAGTGCATGCTGCTGTGTATGCCATTGCCCAGGCTCTGCATGGGCAGCTGTCGCTCAGAGGGGAAGGAGACGCACTTGATAAAGGCATACCCCCGGCTCCTCCCCCGTGGAAGGTAACAATAGCTGGTTTTGTGTTTTCCTGGGGTAACGGGTCCTGGCTTCTAAGTTCTGTACTTTGATTCATCATCTTCTCATAGTTACCCTCAAATTGAAGAAAAGGATTATTTTTATTGAAAAACACATTTTGGAAGAATCTTATTTAAATTTAAGTTAACGTCTTCATTAGAAAACCATACATGCATGATATTAGAAGACAGGATCGTGTCTTAAACATAAAACAGGGATATCTGTGCCCTTCAATTGTCACATAGAATTTTTGGACTTTCTGTTTGTTTCATTTTATTTCAAGTCAGGTTTCTCTGTGTAGCCTTGGTCATCCAGGAACTTCCTTTGTAGACCAGGCTGGCCTCGAATTCACAGAGATCTGCCTGCCTCTGCCTCCAGAGTGCTGGGATCAAAGGCGTGCACCGCCACACCTGGAAGAAATTGTCAAGTATCTTTTTTTCCTTGATGATTCTATTGTTCTGTGAAGAAATTAAAATATTTAACTCAAGAGATTTTTACACATATAAACATGGCGTATTTTAAGGAATTTTAGATACATGTGATCTAAATAGCTTGTTTTGATAAATGGGCTATAGAAAGAGCACATAGCTTCTATAAGGCTGTGCATTCGTGGTCCGTGCCTGTTATCCAGCACTTGGAAGGCTGAGGCAGGAGGATCAGGAGTTTGAAGGCAGCCTGGATTATATAAACAAATCTCATCTTAAAAATCAAATCCCAGGACTGGAGAGTTGGTTTGGTGGTTAAGAGCACTGACTGCTCTTCTAGAGAACCCAGGTTCAATTCCCAGCACCCACATGGCAGCTCACAACTTTCTGTAAAAACAGTTCTAGGGGATCTGACACTCTCACACAGACGTGAATACAGACAAAACACCAATGCACCATCGACTTGTCACGACTTCATCTCTGAACCGGCTTATCTCTTCCACACCCATTTGCACTTCCAACAATGTACAAGAGTCCCACTCTCTACAATCTTTGCCAATACCTTATTTTTGAGTTTGTTTTAAATTTGCTTGATAGTTTCATATACTTACATAATGAATGCTAGGCATTTTTTACCCCCACCTCATTCCATTCTCTCACCCCCTCCCTATCCCATAGAAGCCTTTCTTCCCATCAAGCCCCCTCCCATCTCCATGATGTGTGTGTGTGTGTGTGTGTGTGTGTGTGTGTGTGTGTGTGTGTGATCCTCTGAATTTAATTTGAATTTCTTGCCCAAGGGTGGGAGGTTACTTACTGGACAATGGGCCTATTATCTCTTCAGCGCACATAAATCTTTTGTCTATTGTGAATTTTGACATCAGGCATCCTAACATGCACGAAGTGGTACAGCTCATGGTGAGCTGCAGTTGCCTTGCCCTGGAGACCAGTGATGCTAAGCATCTTTCCATACACTTTATTACTACCTGATGTCTTTCTCAAAAAAAAGTCTATCAGATATCTTCCCCTATTTAACTTTTTTGCTAAATAATTTAATTAATTACCTATAAATTTGGAGTATTAACCCTCTATTAGTGTCTTGTTTGTAAATATCTTCTTTCATTCCTTTGGTCATTTTCTTTGTTGTACAGAGCCTTTTATTTTGGTATAGTTTAACAGCTTTCATTGACTGTTTTTGATGCTGTATCTGAAAATATCATCATCAAGACCAATGACCTCGAGGCATGTCCCCCTCTGCTTTACCCTAGGAGTCTTATATTTCAGGGTCCTGATCTGTTCTTCCTTTGTTTGGTGTATGGAATAAGACGAAAGATCCTGTTCAGTTCTTCTGGGATGTCTATGTGTTTTATGCCATGTTTGTATTGCTGCACATTCATAAAATTATTGGGAATAGAAAATGCAATGCTTCTAACCATGTTCTTCTTGATTGAGTTTGCATGAGGCATTTAACTTCTTTGTGGATATTCCCCATGGGAATTTTAGGACTTAGCCATGTTCTTCTTGATTGAGTTTGCATGAGGCATTTGACTTCTTTGTGGATATTCCCCACAGGAATTTTAGGACTTAATCTATGAGAAAAATATCACGCAAATTTTGATGAAGATTGCCATAATCTGTAAAATGTTTTGTGTAATGACGTCACATAAAAATATTAACTGCTCTGATTCTTAATGCACTTACCTTTTCTGTGTCTCTTCAGTCTTTCTTATCAACATCTTGCAGGTTTAGCAAGTTTATAAGGCTATTTTATCTACTTGGTTAAATATGTCCCTAATTAGTAAAATAGTTATAAGTTTTGTTTTCATTGGTTTATGTTGACTGAGGTTTCTGTCCTGCCCAGTCCACTCAGTCATTAAGTCCCAAAGAAATCACACAGAGGTCTACATTAATTATAAACTTATTGGCCTAGTATCTCAGGCTTCTTATTAACTCTTATAACTTAATTAGCCCTTAATTCTTGTCTGTGTTAGCCACGTGGCTTAGTACCTTTTTAAGCGAGGCAGTCACATCTTGCTTGCTCTATATCTGGCTTCCTCACTATCTGGGTGACAACTGCAAACTGAAACTTTCCTCTTTCCAGAATTCTCATTGGCCCACCTCTACTTCCTGCTGGTAGCCCCACCTATACTTCCTGTCTGGCTACTGGCCACTCAGTGTTTATTTAAAATACAAGTGACAGGGTACAGACCATTGTGCCCCAGCAGGCCTATATTCATTACACACAGAACCGGGACTCATAAGGATAATTACATTCGAGTATATACTATATTTTGACTGTGTTTTCCTTTGATCCCTTCACTCCCCCTTCTATGCGCTCCTAACTTGGCATGGTCTGGATGGGAAATATCCCACATAGGCTCAGGATTTGAACAACAGGCTCCCCTGGAGTAGCATGTGTTTTGGGAAATTTAGATAATGAAGTCTTGCTGGAGGAAGTACGTTGCTGCAGGAGGATTTTGAGATATCTTCATTATACTTCTAGTTTACCTTCTCTTCTTGCAGTCAAGGATGTGTGTGCATTCAGCTTCCTGTGCCTCTCACCTGCCTGCTGCCATGCTCCTCACCATGGAGGACTCTGATCCCTCGGAACCATAAGTCCAAATAAACACTTCTTTCCGTGAGTTGCTCTTGGTCATGGTGCTTTATCACAGCAACAGATCAGTAACTAATATATAGCCCTGTCAGTCACCTTTGTCCCCCGAGACAGTCCTACCTCTATGTCTTCTCTCTATGTTTTAAAACCCTAAAATTCACAAATGAGAGAAAAATTCACAGTACATGACTTTCTGGATCTGACTTTGCTTAATATAATTTTACAATTGCACCAATTTTCCCATAAATGGCATAACTTCCTTAGTCTTTTTAGCCAGATAAAATTCCATTATGTGAGCCAGGCATGGTGGCACATGCCTTTGATCCCTGTGTAGTAAGGAGGTCGTTTGTTTCGTTCCCAGCCGCCCAGCTAGCTTAGCCCTGAAATAATCACACAGAAACTGTATTAATTAAATCACTGTTTGGCCCATTAGCTCTCGCTTCTTATTGGCTAACTTTTACATATTAATTTAGCCTATCTCCATTAATCTGTGTATCACCATATGACAGTGGCTTACCAGCAAAGTTTCAGCATGTCTGACTCTGGTGGTGGCTCCATGGCATCCCTCTAACTTCACCTTCCTCCTCCCATGTTATAAGCCAAGTAGTTTCTTTATTCATCAACCAATAAAAACAATATATAGACAGAAGGACTTCCTACACTATCCCGGCACTCAGGAGGCCAGCCTGGTCTATAGAGCGAGTTTCAGGACAACCAGGGCTACACAGAGAAACTTTGTCTCAAAGAAATCTAAAACATCGGCAACAAAATTCCATTTTGTGTATGCCAAATTTTCATTCACCATTCATTAATTGATAGAAACTGTATTAATTACTTTTCTTGTTGCTGTCATAAAACACCATGATTAAGTAAACTTATAAGAGAAAGGGTTTAGTTTTGGGCTCACAGTTCCGGGGAACAAGAGTCTACCATGGAAGAAGGCATGGCAGCAAGCATCAGACACAGTGACAGGGGAGACATAGTGGCATGGACTTGAGAGACCCATATTTCAAAGCAGAGAGGCTAAATTCTGACATTTCTGTATACACTCTGAAAGCCCACCCCTTCCTCCAGCAAGGTTGCACCTCTGAAACCTCCTGAAACAGTGCCAACCACATGGAGGACAAATGTTGAAGTACCTGAACCTACCGGGGACATTTCTTATTCAAACCACTGCATACATTCAAGCTGAATCCATAAAATCACTATTGTTTCAATAAACCCTAATGTGAAGCAACCCTGAGACACTGACTTCAAAGTCCTTCAGGTAAATACTAAGAAGTAATATAACTGAATCATATGGTAAATTCAGTTTTGTTTTTTGTTTGTTTGTTTTTGAGGAACCTCCTTATTGGTTTCCATAGTGACTGGACTAACTTACATTCCTACCGGTACTGTATAAGTGTTTTCTTTATATTATGGTCAGTATTTGTTGTTATATGGGTTTTCCCTTGCTGTGATAAAACACCATGGCTAAAAGAGACGTATGGAACAAAGAGTTTGTTTTAGCTAAGTTTCCAGAGGGAGAGTCCTAAATGGTGGGGAGGCCTAGCAGCAGGTGGCTGGAATAAGAAGCAGAAAGGTCATTTCTTCAACCACATGCAGAAGTCAGAGATTGCCAACTGCAAGTGAGGTGAGGTGACACTCTTAAAGCCCGCCCCAGTGACAGGTCTCCTTAGCAAAGCTCTGTGGCCTAAAACTTCCATAGCCTCCCTAAACAATACTATGAACAGGGACATAATATTCAATACCTGAACCCTTCAGGGGAGCATTGCTCATTCAAACCACTATATATAGTTTTACACACGTGTGTGTGTGTGTGTGTGTGTGTGTGTGTGTGTGTGTGTATCTAAGAATTCTGAGGATTTTGTACAGTGTGTTTTTATCATATTCATTTCCCATTTCCCCCAACTTCCTCTATGCACCCAAATTTGCACTTAAAACCCATTAA